CCGCCGCTGCCGCTTGCACCCGCGGGGGCGGGGGCAGGGGCGGGGGCGCCCTTCACTGCTTGGCCCTTTTTCAAGCGGTTCAAGAGCTTCAGGCGGGCGCCCAGGCCGCTGCTCTGCTCGCTGGGCCCATCCGTGCTGCCGCCCGCTGGGGCAGCGCGGCCGCTGGTCGCCGCGAGCGCCGCGTCGCTGCGGCCGTCGCCGCCACCACTGCTACCGCCACCACTGCTGCTGCTGCCGCCGCTGCTGCTGGCCCGCTCAGTGGCGACAACTTGCTGCTGCGTCGGAGCTTGAGCCCCGCTACTGCTGGCGTCACTGCCGCCGTCAGAGGCGCCGCCGCCGGTGCCGGCCGGCTCGCTCTCATCGCTGGCTCCGCTTGCAGCGGCAGCGGCCGTGCGGCGGCGCCGCGGGGCGCGCTTGGCGGGTTCTGCTGCCGCGTCGTCGGGACCGCTGTCGCTGGCGCTGGAGTCCTTGGGGCGCCGGCCCCGCCGGGCTGGAGCGGCCGGCGCGGCGCTGCTGCTCGCGGCGGCCTCCCCTGCGGGCGGCTCGCCGTTGGGTGCGCCCGCAGCCTCGGCCGATGCCGGGTCTGCGGCGGGGCCCGCTGCCTGCGCCTGAGCCTGGGGAGCCGCGCCGACGCCATCCGAGGCGGCTCCAGCTACCGCGTCGGCCGTCCCGCTGTCGAGCCCGGCAGTCGTGCCAGCAGCTTCATCGAGATACTGTTCTCCCCCGCCCTGAATCAAACTTGCCACAACACCTGGCTCAGGCGCGGCCTCGGCAGCGAGCGCAGCAGGCGGGGCAGCTGGCGCGGCCGCCGCTGGCGCGGGGCCGTCGCCGGCCCCTGTGGACGGCCGCCTCACGGGCGGCGGGGGCAGGCGCGCCGGCAGCCTGGGAGAGGGCCTCTGCTGCGGGGCAGCTGGCGGCTGCGGCTGCAGCGTCGGCTGACCCCACTGTGGGCCGTGGTGCTCCTCGGGACGCTCCTGCTGCTGCAGCGGCGCGCCTGGCACCGCCTGCGGCTGCGGGGCCGGGGCCTGAGGCCAGGGCTGGGGCGCGCTCCCGGCGGGCGGCGCCGCAGGGGTGTTGGGGAGTGTGGGCAGCCGCCGCCGCCGTCGCGTGGGCCCGACATTACCTACTGCGCCCTGTGTCGAGCGCGCGCATCGACAGCTTTGACTGTCAGTACAAGCAATATGGATTTTGCAGGTTCCTGGCATGCATACCGCCTGGTGCGCTCCCACGGAGCTGCATTGCTAATCGCCGATGCTTGGGAGAACAAGGTGAGAGGCACACAATTTGAGTGTGCTGCGGCGGCGGCCAAGTCCCATGCTGCTGGTGCCGCACCGTACGAGGCAGCGCGACCGCGCCCCTGGTCCTGCAGGTTATTCTCCATCCATACAAGCCTCCACCTGCAGGCCGCAGGCGCTCCATGCGGCGCCTGGGCAGATTAGGAGCCCCGCGACCAGTCCAACCAGCGATCTGTGCAGGTCGGGTTGATCGTGATATAGATGTTGATGAATAATTTCAAGGATTTCGAAAGTCTACGTCTGTCTCCATGCCACAGGAGTCGACGACTGTCACCCGATAATGGAGTTACCCACTGCAGAATTTCGCGCGTGCCTAGTGTGTGAGTGGACCCTATGAGTGCAATGTTTCGCTCTTTTGACCATCCATCGCGGTGCACTGTGTTGGTGGTGTACACATCATGCTGCCAGTTTTGTGAGATCACGCGCGACAAGCAGTTGGGAGCACAGTGTCGCCAGGCGACAGCCCGCCAGTAGCAAATGGCGGCTATGGTGGCGCTGGCTATGCCTGAATGCGATGGCCGTACGCTCCCCACCAAGGCGGGCGCCAGCAGCAGCAGCAGCAGCCCTGCTCCCGTGCTATTCCTGTATAATCACCTTCACGACGCCATTCGGGCCGAGCTGGATGCACTCTCGTCCACCGTGCTGTCGCTGGACGCGTGCGGCGAGGGCGAGGAGGTGGACGCGCTGCTGCGCCTCAAGGAGCGCTACCGCTTCTTGGAGCAGGTCTACAAGTACCACAGCGCCGTCGAGGATGAGGTGAGGCGCTCAGGCGCACACCCATCAGGCAGCCGCGCAGCCCGCACCCCCCATGGGCCGCGCCGCCCAGCGTCGTGCGCCTAGCACGTAGTTGCCATGCGCGCGCGCCGCGCGCGCACGCGCCCACGCCCTGGCGTACGCCTTATCCCCTCGCCCCAACCGCTGCCTCCCCCAGGTCGTATACCCGGCATTGGATTCCAAAGTCAAAAATGTAACCTCCGCGTACAGCGTTGAGCACCAAGACGAGGTGCGGGGCCTTGCGGGGCTTGTGCCATGGCCGCCCACCTCCGCCGGGACCGCGGGCACGCGACCGCGGCCTGGGTGCCGAGGCAGGGGCGCGGCCGCAGAATTCCGCTAGTAGGCGCTGCGGCTGCGGCAATCACGCCTGCATGCCCCCGTGCGGCTCCCCATCCGGGCGCCGGCGCGGCCCCGCGCCACACCCGCAATTTGCTGATGCGCCACGACCGCAACCGCACCCTGCGACCGCCCCCCCGGCTTCCGCCAGGAGTACCTCTTCGAGCAGCTGGGCCAGCTCCTCGGCGGCGCCGTCGCGCAGTCCGGCGCCGCGCGCGCCGCGACAGTCCGGCAGCTGGTCTGCAAGGTGGAGGCGATCCACACGACGCTGCGCAAGCACCTCGCCAAGGAGGAGGCGCAGCTGCTGCCGCTGCTACTGGCGCACTTCTCGCACCCAGAGCAGGCGGAGCTGGTTGCCCAGTTCCTGTACTGCATCCCGCTGGATACGGTTGAGCGCGTGGTGACGTGGCTGCGGCCCGCTGTGCCGGCGCGGGAGCTGCAGCAGCTGCTGGGTCACCTGGGTGACGTCGTGCCCGACAACCTGCTGCTGCAGCTGCTGGCCGCCTGGCTCAGCCCGCCGGGCGCGGCGGCGGCGGTGGCGGCAGGGGCTGCGGCAGGAGCAACGGGCGGGGTGGGGGCGATCGCGACCGCGGCGGCGGCGGCGGCGGCGGCGGATGGCGTGGGGGAGGCTGCAGGCGGCGCGGCGGGCGAGCTCGCGGCGGCGGCGCAGGAGGCGTGGCCGCCTTTGCAGGTGCGTTTGCTGTCGGGCTTGCGGGGATGGATGCATCATGGGTGCGTTTGGGCTGTGGTTGGATCGCCATCACCAATTTTGGGGGCAGCTTGATTGCCCAGGCCTGCGCTTGAGCCTCGCGCCGCGCTGAAAAGGCCTGAGATGCACACAACACCGTCCCTCCCCCACCTGCGCGCGCTCAACATGCACATGCGCACGTGCACAGACACTCACTCGCACACTCATGCGCGCGCACACACACAACACATGCACACACACATACAATACATGTTCACACACATACAAATGCACGCACGCACGCACACAACATACACATGCACGCGCACATACACACACACACACACACGCGCGCGCGCACGTACACACACACGCACAAAACACACACACAGGGCATCGTGCTGTTCCACGAGAGCATCATGGGCGCCCTCGAGGCCTTCGCCACCGAGGCAGCCGCCCTGCAGGCCGCCCCCGGCGGCGTCGGCGCCGGCCAGCTCGCCGGCCTCGTCGAGCGCCACCGCTTCCTGCGCAGCGTGTGCGCGTTCCACACCCACAGCGAAGAGGAGGTCATGTTCCCGGAGGTGATGCGCCTCAGCCAAGGCGGCGGCGACGCGGGGGCGGCCGGCGCGGCCGGCGCCGCGCTGCAGGCCGCGGCGCGCGTCGCGTGCGGCACTTGCCAGCGGGAGCATGCGGAGGAGGTCTCTCTGTTTGAGGAGCTGGGGCGCCTGCTGGCCGACGTGCGCGCGCTCGCGCGCCGCGGGCGCCGCGAGGCCGGCGGCATGCTGGGCCAGCTCGTCGGCGCCGCGCGCCGCGTGTGCGCGGCGATCTCGGTCCACATGCGGCGCGAGGAGGCGGACGTGCTGCCGCTGCTCGCAGCCGCGCTCGCGCCGGAGCGGCAGCGCGCGATGGTGTGGCGGACGCTGCGGGCGATGCCGCTGCGGCTGCTGGAGAGGGTGATGCCCTGGCTGGTGGCGAAGATGTCATCAACGGATGCGGAGGGGCTGATCTCCAGCCTGCGCATGGCGGCGCCAGACTCTGAGAAGCAAGTGGTGGAGCTGCTGCTGCGCTGGGCGGAGCGCGGCCGCTGGGGCCCCGGCGCCGCAGGCGGGGCGCCCGCCGGCGCTGCGGCTGCGTGC